TGACGTTCAATGGCTCTGTCCTTAACTGGCTCGCCTATAGCAAAGATTGGAATAACACACAGCTGACAAGAAAGAAGCTCTCCAGAGAAAAATGAACAGGTGACTGTAAAGACTGGTTGGTATGCAGTGAACAAATCAAGGTCTCTAAAGACAACTATTAAAATTCTCTTCCACCATGAGCCCAACAAAAACAGAGACTCAAAGTAGTTCAAAAGCAAGCCAGAGATTTCTGAACAGATTTCCCTGTGAATCATGGACTTAAATTTGCACAGACTTTGCTGACAAAGCAGAGTTTTAGCTACAGTGACTCCAGATTCTGCAGTGCTTGTAGGAACGGTCACCATAGCAAAGGGATAGGACTTTGTTACTAACTCTGGGTAGCCATAATCTCCCACCCACTAGGTAAGGCTGGAGTGATTTAATGCCAGACTTGGCTGGTCTGCAAAAGAAGCTTTCAGTCTGGGATTTCCTGCTAGTACAACCAAGGGGGTGCCTGAAAACTATGTCAGAACTGGGTTTGGTGGTTGCTGACCCTACTAGCCATCTCAGAAAGTGTAACTTTTGCCTGACAGCAGGCTGACTTTTGTGGAAAGTTGAGATTACTGAAAAGCAGACCCTCTTCTATAAAAAAAAGTACTGAAAAGTAAATAACAAGTGTGACTGCCACAGCATCTGATGAGCCTCATGCTTTGGGGCCAGATGGTTAAATTTTCCTCTTTTGCTGGGTTTTTCATCAGGACTTTATGGGGTACACCTTCCTTTTTTCCTTGCTGTGGATGCACTGAATAACCATGGTGGACATTAGTTATCAAAGCCTAGCACAGGCACAGTGACAAGGCTCTGTCAGGCACAGGAGATGTCCCAAAGCATGGGAGACAGGGAGTAGGAAGCTTTTCAAGAACAAAAAGTAGTGGATTTGATGGAAGCACCCATGGACCAAATCCAGCCTGGGAGCTCTCAGCAGAACAGGTTCAGTCTTCACAATGGAAGAATGTCCCTGAATGGCTTAGTGGTGATCCACCTGTCCTAAGTCTGATTTATTTTCAATGCTGACTGTTGGTACAGACCCATAAAAGCTGCAGTTACTAAGACCACCACCCTCCTGTGTTGTTCTGAGGCATCAGCATTAGCCAAATGGGTCATGTTCTTGCTCCTCCAATACATGCAAGAAGGGGGACAGCTGGGTTGCTTCAGGCTTGAAGCTTGGTCATGTCGCTGGCTGCAGAAGGAAGGTGGATCTGGGCTTTCTGGAAATCTATTCAAGAAAATACAAGCAATGTTAAGCAAGACCTCAAGGCAAACATAAGCCTTGAGCAATTCCAAAGGAGCGAAAGTAGCTTTGGAGTAAGCAACAAGTGGCAGCAACAGAGATTCTCATGTTACAGTGTAGTGTGAGGCCATGGCAATGGCAGAGATTCCTGGCACAGAACTGCTATGCACACAGTTAGTAGCCACAGCATCCCGGTATTGTAGGCATTTGGTTGGTCACAGGGAAGTTTACCTGGCGGAGTCCAAAGCCAGCTCCTTTGTGATCAGAGCTGTTGTGAAGAAAGCAGGACATGAGTGCCTGCCCCTCCTTTCCCCAGGGAGATGCTCTGAAGCTGAAGCTTTACTGCCAGTCCCTGCCAGTGCTGGGCTGCAGCTGGGCAACAGCCGCACCCATGCTCAGCCTTAGACTTTTGCCAGTCTAGCCCTGACCCGCACTGAGTGACGCTGCTTCCCAGCGTGAACTTGAACCCGCCCCGTCACCTGCCCTGAGCTTTGTCTGATCTTGACTGATGTCTCCAGCCCTGATCCCAACGTGGGCTTGCTATTCTGGGTCCCTGTTGGTAGCGTAGCTCATGACTGGCTCACCTTACTACTGGGCCATGCTGTCAGCCCCATTCCTGCTGCTCCCTGATGCCTGCAGTGCAGTGCAGTGCAGCAGCAGGAGAGCAAGGGAAGCAGTAGCTCTGTGAGCAGCCACCATTCCCACCACTTGCCAGTGGCCAGGCACAAGCATGACTGCAAGGCAGCTGCAGCCCAGCGCAGGTGGGATGAGGGACAGGACTCTCAGCTTAAGCATAGTTCCCATGAGAAGCAGGGGCTGCTCCCACAGAAATGCCTGCCAGCTTTGTCTCACAGAACTCCGCTCAAGGCCACACAGCTGCTTATAAGTGTAGGCCAAGAGTGCAGGCATCCCGGCTTCCCAGGGTGGGGAGTGAATGCTGCCAGCGCCCTAACTGGCACATTTAACCCTGCAGTCACAGCTACAGGAAGAGTACTGCATAACAGAGGGCATGGATAGATCACCTAGTCAAAGGAATGAGTTAAGATACTCTTGCTTGTATCACTTACTGATACAGAGGTCAACAGCTGACAAGTTATCTTGTTAAAGTTGTACAGTTGGGTGCTGAACTGAGAGCAAATGAAGCTGGAAGAGCAGTCAACCTTGTAGAGCTTGTACAAGTTTCTGGAGATGTTTAACATCAGTTGCTCTTCAAAGGCAATAGCACAATGGGGTGCGTTTTTGAAGATCTCTAAAGGTTTGCTCTTTGACAGCACCATGCCTCATAGCGATGTAATAACTGAAGTGCAATGCTCCTATGTTACTGCATTCCCACAGAAAAAATATTTACAAGTGTACTGTGAAAGAACTAGCTGCTGGATTTGATTTACAAATGCACATGTGTAAAACATGCTTAAAGAGAGACCCTCCTTTCCTCAGGAGAAAGATCCAACATACATCCTATCGCATACCTTTGCCAGATCTGACACTCTGGTTTAAAAAACCAACCAAGTAACCAACCAAACCAAACCAAAACAAAACAGACAACCACCAAACATAAAAATAAGAAGCCTAATATCTAAATTGAATTTTTCATATTGCAAGGTGTGCTTTTTGCCGCTCATCCTTTCCCTGTGCACCTTAGAGGAAAGTCTAGCTCTGTCTTCTCTTCATCCCGCAATCAGGTGGTTGTAAAGAGCAATAAGGTCTCCCCTTTGCCTTCTCCAAGCTGGAGAGACCCGGCCCTATCAGCCTCTCCTCATCCATCATGCGCCAGAGCCTCAGCCATCTTGGTGGTCTCATGTTATTCCCATGCCAGGGCACTGGTGGGCTTCTTTACCACAAGAGCACATTGCTATCTCCTGGTCACCAGTTGTTCACCAGGACTTCCAGGTCTTTTTCTGCAGATCTTCCTAAACACTGCCACAGCCTGCATTATTGCATGGTATTATTCCATTCCAGGTGCAGGACTTGCATTTACTTTTATTGAACTTGATGAGGTTCCTGTCAACCCACTTCTCCAGCTTGTCTGGGTCCCCTCTGAATAGCAGCCATGCCCTTCAGCTTACTGAAACTACTTCCAGCTTGGTGCCATCTGCAGTTGGGCTGAGAGTATGCTATGTTCTGTCATCAAGGTTTTCAATAAGAAGTTTAAGCACCGTTTTCACAGGGATCAGTACTGAGATCATAGAACTGTTTAGGTTGGAAAAAGGACCTTTAAGATCATCAAGTCCATCAACAAACCTAACACTGCCAAGTCCACCACTGAACCATATCCCACATCTACACATCTACACTACCTCCTGAGATGGTGACTGAACCATTTCCCTGGGCAGCCAGTTCCAGTGCTTGGCAACCCTTCTGGTGAAGATTTTTTTCCTAATTTCCAATCTAAACTTCCCCTGGAGCAGCTTGAGGCCATTTCCTCTTGTCCTATAGCTTGTTGCTTGGGAGAAGAGCTCAGCACCCACCTTACTACAACCTCCTTAGCTGTAGAAAAAGAGTGATAAGGGAAGACAGCTGGGAAGCTGCAGAACAGAGTGGGAAAGAGGTTTTGGGTTTCAGGAAAGACCCTTTTGCTAATGAAGAAAATGAAGAACAGAGGCTTGCTATAGCAGCCCATACTCTGTGGAGTTAAACTGGACAGGATTGTCCATCCCAGGACAGTCACAGAGCTGTGTCCTGGGAACACTGGTCTTCACTGGCAGTACAGTTGTGTTTAGGTGAGCATTCATTTTACTCAATTCACCCACTTCATGCACATTCATTCAATTTACTCAACTTCATTCACGCCATCAAACCCCATACTCACAAGCACTGAGGAGCATCTGCCCAACAGGTCTGCACAGGATCTGTGACATACAGTGTAAAGGAAGATAGGCGTCAACTATCACACCCTAATGGCATCTCTTGTGTTGTTCTTCACTGTGGCAAACTGCCTTGGACAGGTCTTTTATGCCTAATAGAGGGTAGGAAAGCTACCTGGGATCCAACACTTACTATCGTGGCATCCTTGTGTTTTACAGTCTGGCTACTTCTGCTTTCACACACTTCAGGCAACTCATTTACCTGTTATCTGTGTTTCTTCATTTTGAGTTTCTGAGGCTGTGATCTGCTTCCAGTTGGACCAACAGGAAAAGAAATGTCATTTGTGATGTGCTGTATCTTCCTGCCATGTCCAGCTGTCAGATGGTAGGGTTTTCTGCAGACAAGTTGCCTATGCTACAGAGTGCAGGTCTTCCTGGTTTGAGAGAAATAGTGTCTTTCCCAATTTTACTGCCTTAAACTGTGTATTTAGTTACCAATACAAGCCATTCTTTCAACCTTTGTTCTGCTATTTCTGCTGGTGCTTACGCACACCGATTCCCATTTCCATTCAAACTTTGCTCATACCAATCAATACTTCAGTTTCAATTCTCTGAAATCTGATTTGGCTTACTAAGAAGTCAGGTGAATACCAGAGCCAGGGCAAACAAGCAAACATTACAGCTGGAAGTAGAGAACACCAGAGAGAAAGATGTACAGGGACATTTTAGCAGCAACAAAAGGTTGCAGCAGCCCAGCCACTCTAACTTCTTAGCTTCAAGCAAATTGCTTGATATTTAAGACCAGAATCACTCACTGCACTGTGACAATAATACCAATTTGTGACCCCTTGATAGAGCGGTCCCTTCTGTCTCACCTAGTTGTGTTTCATGTAAGTAGGTCGTGTTTGAAGTTGGTAAGGAAGTCCAGTATTTGGGACATTTGTATTTGCAAAACATTATACCAAAACCCAGAATAAATCCAGTAATGTTTCTTAGTTTGCTTTCAGTCTGAACTGATCCAAAGCCCTTCTTAAGTGCGTTTAAGTGTAGAATAGAACACGCTTGCCAAGGCTGTGTTTGCATCTTCTTTCTGCTTGCAGTACTTTACTTTTCTGCTCTGTGCTGTTCTAAGAGAGTATCCAGGAGAGCTCCGCCCACCACATAGTTCAGTTTTCAGGGTGGGTTAAAGGACAAATGCATGTTCTCACCGGAACTGGCTGAAAAGCAGAAGACATAAATATAAGCAAATGACTGAAAGGTTTGCCTGATTAATGATTTTCTTCTGCTGCCTGGAGTTGGCAGCACTGTGCTGATTCACTGTTTGAATCATTTTCTACCTTATCAGCCAGTCCTGAAACTACATCAAGCACAGATCTGAGTTTTATCATCCTCGACCTGTTGACAACCAAGAACACACATATGCATGCCTAGAACATAAACCAGCCTAGAACTATCAATTTAGTTTTCTAAAGCTAGAACTGATGAGGCAAAATTCTTCTTTTACCTCTCCTTTTCTATTGCTTTAGAAAAAATTGTTTGTTCAAGTTTCATAGCAACAGGGTAAATATGGGGAACTATGACCAATGAAAAGATCCTTCCGTAGCCTTTCCTTCAACAAACCCACAGACAGTACCACCTCGGTCCCATTCCTTGAGGTGGCTCTCTTTCTATGACCTAAACAGTGGTCATGACTGCATCTAGGTAGTTTCAAATGACTTTCAAATCGGGCATTTGCGCCAGGCAACACAGGCTATCATTGATTTTAAGGCTAACTTCCTGATTCAGAGGGAGCAGTTGATACTCACTGTTCCTTAAACTTGCACTGCTGAAGAGTTTTAAGTATTGAAGCTCATATCAGATGCATTTAGTACTCAGCCCTACCCCGATCTCTCTGATTCAGCATTTGCCATGCTTCCTCACACACTCATAGACCCTCCTTCAGCATTAATGGGAGCCAGTCACTTCTCTGCTGCACACCCCCTGCCAGGACACCCACTGCTGGCTGCCCATCCAGAAGAAAGAGAAGTAACGGCATTGCTACACAAATACTAGAATTGTTTGGGGATCCCAAGTTTTTCTCCTACATTATAGGCTTAATGCTCTGTACATTTGTGTTACTGTCATGTATAGGCAGAGAGGGAAGTTACAAGGGAGACAAGGAAATGCTTCAGTGGACGCTGGTGCTCTCCTCTAGGTACACACTCTGAGAGAGACTGGCTGAGATCCATACTTGATACCGTGGAATGGTTTGGGTTGGACGGGACCTTAAAGCTCATCCAGTTCCAACCCCCTGCTACTGGCAGGGACACCTTAAACTAGACCAGGTCGCTCTAAGCAAGCCGGAAGCCACCCATCCCTTCCAAGGAGTTCTCGCTTCTCGGCTCTCCTGGGTGGTGTCCAGTGCGTGCTTCCCTCCCTTCCCCTCAGCTCTGCCTCCAGCCGCAGGCTCCTCCCCAAACCTTCGGTTTCGATTCCCCTCCGGCCGGGCTGCGGCCGCGCAGATCCGCCCCGCCCCGCCCCGCCTAGCTTCTTAGTTTCTTTTCTTCTGGACCCGTCGAGTTAGAGCGAAAGGGGGACGATGGGTGACCCGTCGGTGTGCAGCTTCCTCACCAAGACCTTGTGCGCGCACGGCGGGCGGCTGGCGCTGCGGGACCTGCAGCAACACGTCGGTCTCTCGGCGCAGCAGCTGGAGGAGACGCTGTCGGCAGTGGGTCCCCAGCGGTTCCTGGTGCAGCGGGGCGGCGACGGCGTGTGGGTGCTGGCCGTCTCGGCCGTGAGGGTGTGCGTCCGCAAGGAGTGCGGGGGCTGCGACCGGCTGCATCTCTGCAAGCTGCACCTCATGGGCAAGTGCAACCTGGGGTCCAGGTGAGAGCCGCCGGGGCAGGCAGCCCTCGCTAAGGGCAGGGCACGGGGGACCCTCCTCATATGCATCCGACCGCCGTGGGCTTCACACAGAACGGGCCGCGGTCGGGACTGGCCCAGGGTCCCCTCCGGTCTCGGTCCCCGCCTCGGGTACAGCCTCGTACCGCCCATTTCCCGCTGCTTGTTGTTGTGTCCCGCTGTTAAACCCCTTTATATATTCCATGTATTTTTACATTTAGTCACTTTCAAAGTGATTGCGGTGGCTTGTGGTTTTCTGAAGCCTGGTTTTCTTTGTCAGTATCATGACTTTTTGTTTGTTAAACCCGCCCCTCAAACCCTTGAAGTGCTAGTATATACCGTCTGGTTTTAAGCTATAGTTAACCAACGTAAGTTGCTGCTCGGCTTACATTGTTGTCTGTGACAGTCATCGTTTGAGTTCCCTTGTACATTGATCCTGTTATGTATGGAGGACCCACAGGAAGGGTAGGCCTGGTGGGCCAAAGGTTTGAGAAAAAATATAAATGAAACAAAATCAGGGCAGAAGTGTGACCCAGAAGCTTTTCAGTGACAGTCAGTGGCAACAGTGAGCTCTGGCAGAAAAGTTTAAGCCCCCCAGGCCTTGTGCTGTTGCAGTATTAAGTGTGTTGATAACCACCATATTCTTCCTCTTCTGTCCCAGCAAACCAGCTTGGAGTGCACTGGGATCTGAAGAGCACAGAGGGGAAAGGCTATGTATGTCTCAGAGTGGTACTAGCAAAGTGTTAGGATGCTGAAACTTTCTTACCGTTTCTCACGTCACTGGCAGTACAATAACCTTCTACGTGGCCCGCTGTTAGAAATACTTTCAGGTGCATGTAGGCACTTGTGCTGGGTGAGTTGGTGTGAACTAAAATGTGTAGTGAGGTGACACCCTTAATAATGATAAACGCTTCTGTCCTCTCAAATAGCACCAATTATTAGTCACTTTTGTATGCATTAATGATTATTAAAATGAAGAGTATGGCCTTCATGGCGGGGGGGGGGGAGGTTGATTAAAATGAAATGTAGAAGTACTGCTAGGAGGACAACATGGATCAGGACAGAGAGTATTTTTAACTGGTAAGGTAAAATCTGCCCCTGCTTCCAGATCTTGCACCCTTTTTGTTTTAGAATCTCTGAAAATAAAAATGTCAGTGCAAATACTGGGGTCCTCTTACTTGGTGGAATTAGGATTTTAATCCCATTAAACCTGTTCTTAATGTGTGCCTGGCAAGTAACTTTTCACTGCTTTTTCTAAACGTATTATTAAACTCAGCTGATTAGTTATCACTGTCTTTGTGGACCATTCCAACCTTTGACTTACAACTGTGTGCTCAAGTGATGCAGCTCACTGTGTAACTAGTGGAATCTGAAGTTCTCTGTGGAGGAATGCTGGTGATGGTTCCCATCTGCGCTACAGATAGCTCACTTACATTCATAGCCATTAATCAAGTGCCTACAGAATCTAATATCCTTAGGATGTTATTTCTTAGGACCAAAGATGGCACACTTCTGCCCTTGAGGCTTTGCATTTATTTATATTATATTTATTATTTTATACTATTATTTATTATATTATATTTATTACTTTATTATTTATTATATTATATTTATTATATTATTATTTATTTTATTATATGTATATATTATTATTTATTAACTTACAAAGCAATGAGTCCAACAGGTAGTGGTGATCAGGGGTGAACTGGCTACACAAGGGTCTGTACAGAAGGGTTGGATCAGGCACAACATGAGGTAAAAAAGCTTTTGTGAGAAGAGTTTCAGAAGTTAACTAGAGGGAGTCTAACATGATAAAGGGAACAGAGGCTTGGGTCTGATACATTCACAGGTACTTTTAGTGGTTGAGTGTGTCTAGCCTAAAGGCTGTATCAAATGCTTTTGAAGAGCAAGACATTAGGAAGCTGTATTTTGCTGCACTGCATTAATGCATAGGTTGACTCTTTCTCCTCTTATTGATTGTATTATCTTTTCAAATAGATGCAAAAAGCCCTGCAATCTCTAATTAATGCTCACTTCAGACATTTCTCTTGGGTTAGTAAATGCTACCAGCATCTTTGTTACTGTTGTTTAATTGCTTCTTTATCTGAAACTTTGAAGTTAATGAACTTCCTTTGGGTTTGTTGTTTGTGTTTTGGGGGTTTTGTTTGTTTAAATTCCCACCCAGCAGACATAACAAAGTGTGTTGTTTTCAGTTTCACTATCTCTTTGTTTTGCACTCCTGGACTCTTGCATCTTTCTTCGCATGCCAACCCTGAGACAACAACCTTTTTATGTTCGTAAAACCAAGCGTGTTTCAACTTCCTCTGTTGATGTATTCCTCTAAAATTAGCTTTCTCTCTAGCTGTTCGTGTTGTGTGACTTGACTTGCCTCTTACAGAAGGGAAAGAAAGTGTGGAGTAGACAGACTCTGCTGCTAGCTTCCTTAAAAGTGGTCTGGCCACATCAGTGTTTAAAATGGGGATAGTAACACTACTGTATTTCACAGTTATGCTGTTTGATCCATCCTCTACATAATTACAGACACCATCTGAATGTTCACAGGGGCTTTTGCCAAACTACCTTGTTCTCCATGGCTTTTCCCAGGTTGCACATTATCTGAGGTGGTTCTTTACATCAGCTTGACTGAAGAAGTAACCACTGATATTTCTGTGTATTTTCCTGCAGATCTTGTAAGTACCCGCACGACATCATCAATGCTGAGAACAAAAAAGTTCTAAAGACCCATGAGTTATCTAGCCTTGATGAGAATGAGCTGCGAGTCCTGCTTCTCCAAAATGACCCTTTCTTCCTCCCTGATGTGAGTTGTACTGGTTTCTTAAGAGAAGCTTCTGTTCATTTGGAATGGGAGAGGGGCAGAGAGAATGTGGAGTTCTGATCTCAATTTCAAGCTATTATGCTGTGTAACAGTAATGCCAGGATTAGTGTGAATAAAGTAGGAATGGGAATGGCTCGGTGTGAAAGCACCAGAAGAAACAACATAGAGCCAGGGTTGTGAAAGTGCCAAGTACTTACAATGAGAAAACACAACAGCAATAAAAATTCTAAATGCTGAGGACTGTGTTGCTTATGTAAATACCAGAAAGGTCACACCTAGATAAAACTCTCATCTGTGACTTGTCAGCAGATGACCTGCTGTCTGAGAGTAGGAATTGGACAACAAGGCTATGGCCTGTTTTGTGTGCTACTCCTGTTATCCCAACAGGATAGCTATGAAGTTACTCCAAAGAAGCAAGCAAAAAACATCAGCAACTTCAGCAGAGATTTATGGTGAGGTAAGCAAGATGGAGGTGAAAGATCACAATAACTGTTTGTGCTTACAGGACAACAGGCCTATGTGATGGAGACCAGGAAGTAAGGGCCCCCTTTCCTTTTCCAGCCTATGTAGGCCTGCACGTTTTTGTGCTCGAGGGTATAGGGGAGTGAGAAAAATCTGTGAGAAAACAACCAAATGAGTGCAGTCAATTTTGGCTGAAATCTGCCCCTTCTAAAGTGCACTGAGTTTTTTGAACACTGATTTTTTTTACAAGGCACTTTTTTGTTGTTGTTGTTGTTTGTATGCAAGTCACTGGTTTTGATAAATTTGCCTAACAATCCGTTGTGGTTCCGTATGCGTGCATAAGGGCAATGCTATCTTCAAGGTATGGCTGTTTCAAAGCCGAGAATATCCTGGTTTGGCTACAGCTGTTCCTGGTTAAGAAATTACCAGAGTACTTCCTGTTACCTTTGGTTTTTGGAGGTTATAATCTCAACAGATCTGTTGGCCTAATACTTCTACTGCTTTCTTATTCCCTGCTGTGCCAGTGTGGGGCTTTGATGAAATAGATCCTTTCTTGCTTTTTGGTAGTGTTTTAAAATATGTTGTGCTGGCAGGTTCAGGGAGCATGGTGATGATGAGTGAGGAAGATTAACAAAATCTTTCTCCTCTCAGCTGCATCTAAAACTTGTGTCACTTGTTTAATTAGTCCTGGCAATGACCGGAGAGTGGCAACCATCACTGGCTGGTATTATTTTAAGCTCTTTTCTATAGCTCTGTTCCGACTTCACTGCTGTCAGGCATTGTTGATTACCTCTAATTGAGCACCTAAACTATTCTGAAGTAAAACAACAGAAGACAGTGATCACGCAGGCCATTCATAAACCTGAGAGCTGGAGAAAGGGGTGTGAAAGCCCATTTGGTTGTTTTGAAATGCTGACTGGCTCTGTGTGTGTGCTGTGTCTGTGGGAGCTGGGTCTGTTTAGCTTGGAGAAGTGAAGGCTCAGGGGAATCTCATCTCATTAGTGTTTACAAACACCTGAAGGGGAGTGTGTAAAAAGCACAGAACTGATTTTTATCTCAGTGGTGCCCAGAACCAGAGGTGATGGGCACAAACTGAAACACTGGCGCTTCCCTCTGATCATCCCAAAATACTCTGAGGGTGACTGAGCACTGACACAGGTTTCCCAGAGAGATTGTGGGGTCTCCCCACTGGGAGATACTCAGAACCCATCTGGACACAGTCCTGAGCCCTGCAGTGGCATCTCTGCTCAGGCACCTTGAGCACCTCCCCTTGTTCCTTCTTCTCACCTTGGTGTCTGCAGGGATTGGTTTGTTTTTTAATAGAATAGCTGTAAACCAGTCAGTTGTTACGTGATTGTCTTGTTTAGGAGTGAGAATGAATGCTTGTTGGATTGGCTTTTCTTGGTGGGGAAAAAAAAACCAAACCAAAAACCAAACCCCACTTATGCATAACTTCAAAAGTGGAAATGCATGAGTCAGCTGAAAATGCCTGCTCTTCCGTACAAGAAATCTGCCTAGATTAAAAAAGTCACAATGAAAACATGCCTTTCTGTCACTGTATTACTGCTGTTAAAACTGCATGTCTACAGAAGAAAGAAAAAATTTACTGATTCTAATGTGATTCTAGTGGAATTACTGATTCCATTTAATACTTTGTCTGTCCTCCCCACTTCTAGATCTGCCAACTTTACAACAGAAGGGATAGTAACTGCAGCCAGCAAAACAACTGCAACAAGCTTCATATTTGTCGGCACTTTCTCAAAGGGGAATGTAGATTTCTTTGGTGCAAGAGGTCCCATAACCTCTTGGATATCGATTCACTGAAAGTGTTGGAAACTGGAGGCATTGATGCGAAGATAGCTTCAAACATGCAGACTATATATAATCACAAGCACATAGAACTCAACAAGGAACTGAAGGGGAAAAGTAAGTTGTAAGAAACATCATCCTGGACACACAAATTGGGATGATACCAGCTAGCTCAGTTTCTGGTCCAGCAGTGCTGTTCATTCAGTGTTCTCATGCAGGTCCCAGAAGCTATGTACCTGGTCAGAGACAACACCAGTCTGCAACAGGAACTGGAGGTAAAGTTGAAGGTATGGATTGTTTCTAACATTCAGTCCTGGGATCAGTGGGTCTCTTTGGGATCTGCTGTCATACAGCTCCACAGCTCCCTGTGGTAGTTGGAGTGCAGCTTCTGTGCTTACTCTACCAGATGCTGAAAGCCATGATACTGGACAGCCTGTGCAGGAGTGTTGAGATATCTGCCCAAGCACTGTGCAGCACAGTGTGGAGTAGTCTGGGATTGATCTCTGTAATCTTAACACACTGTTCCTTTCCCGGGAAGGAAACAGAGTTGTGTCTGTGTGAGAGATCTTTCCTTGCCTTCTGTCCCCAGGGAATAGATAACAGCTTTGCCAGTTGAGCAGTAGTCTCGATCTACCTTCCAGGGAGGGAACAGGAACTCCAATGTCTCCTGTCCTCCTGAGCAGAAGGGCCTTGACTTTAAAACCTGTCAGAGTCCAATACTCTGAACAATTTTTTTTTAGATGTTCTGTGCATGGAGGGTGTGATGACTAATATCAAATTTCCTTATTTGAAGATAGGTGCCATTACACGGGTGGTGTGCGCTACCCCAGCGGGCAGCTGGGCATCACACAGCCACACGCTCACTTCCCCTTCACCACTGGTGGATCAGGGGAAGAGGAAAAAAAGAAAGCAACAACAAGAACACCTGAGCGTCAAGAAGAGGGGAAAGCAAAGGGTAAGTGGAAGAAGTAAGAAAACAAAGGAAAACAAGTGATGCAAAGGCAATCGCCACCTCCCATGAATAGGCTGATGCCCAGCCAGTTCCCAAGCAAAAGATAGCTAACCATCCTAAAACACCCTTTTTTCCCTTTGATTGCTGAGCGTAGTGTTATATGGAATATTTTTTTGTTTAGTTTAGGTCTTCCCAGGTGTGTGCCCTTCTAACCTACTGTGCACTCCCCAGTCTATTCACTGGGGTGCAGGGTGAGAAACAGAGAAAGCCTTGATGCTGTGCAAAAACTGCTCAACAGAAGCTAGAGTATCTGTGTATTATCAGCATTGTTGTGGTTGAAAATCTAAAGCACAGCATCATATGAGCTGCTATGGAAAAGATTAACTGTATCCTAGCCTGGCCCAGGACAATGAGATTTCTAATGCAGCAGAGTAATGCAAAATACAGTGAAAACAAAATACAAATGTGAAGTTACACTTACCAAAACGTAGCAATTGCAATACACATTTTAGTCAATACCAATGTGATTCCCATGCTGGTCTGTATAATATGCTCACTGTCATGATGCTGAGTGTTCCCAGTCCCTAGGAACAAATATGTAGGCTGAAGCCAGCTCAAGGCCGTTGCTCTCTTTGAAGTTCTTTTATTAGTTGCTTAATTTTTATACCCATGTGTTGGGTTCAGCTCTGTGTTCACTCCCCCCATGCTGGTCTGGCTAATTAAGGGAAAAACATTTATATTGCCAGTTGATTCACTCAGCTGTTGTAGCTCTTTATCTACAGTAAAGGCCACCCTTTGGTCCCCTTTGTGTTGAGAAAAAGTCAGCTTCTTTGCAGTAGCCATGGTCAGTCATACCCTGTGTAACTCTCTGAAATTCATGACGTTGCCCTTGCCCATTTCTGCTGAGACTTCTTCCACTGTAGGGGTTTATTGTTGAGTCACAGAGCCCTAACTCATGTGGTGGGGCTTCATGTATGTGGCATAGTTGGATCCTGAAAGCACTTAACTTGGCTACTGTTATTTCTGGGATGAAATACCAAATGCAGTGTCTTTGTCTTGGACGTCTTGGTCTATTTTGATAGGGCAAATAAGGATTGATGTGTTCTTTCCTGTAGATAAAAAAGGTGATTCCTCTGCTAAAGCTTCAAAGGACAACAAAGAAGATAACTGTGATCAGATATGTGTGTTCTATGTCTGGAAGTACTGCAAGCATAAAGGTAAGCTTTGTAAAAAGTAATGTTATCTTTGGAGAGCAGGGTCTACAGAGGCACTCCCCAGTCATATGGCAATAACGGTGCCATATGGACTGGCAATTTTGCCTTCTCATTTACTTTGTTTCCAAGTCACTAATAAGCACTGTTAGAATTACAGACATAATCAGAGGGAAGTCAGGTGGGTACTCTAAACCTTTTCTCCTCTAGATGATCCATCTATGGCCTGTTTCAGCCCTCTTGATGGGGGCAGGCTTTGTCTGTGTTTCTGTGGCAAAAACTCTTCAAATGTTAAATATTACACTTTCTGTAACTATTAAATCAACTTAAGAGCTCTTCTTACGTTGTCATCGTTGACAACAGGTAACTATAGGCCATCCTGTACTCCTGCAGTATCTTATGTACATCAGATAATAATGATACTCTTCCCTTTTAAGTTCTTTTTAAAGTGATCTGAGGTGTTAAAATGTCTTAAGAAAACAGTAGTCCTACCAGCTAAGCTGAAGGTAAATCTAGTCCATTGTCTGTCTGGCAGTGGCCAATATCAGAGGTCTGGGGAAAATTGCAAGTATAACAGTTGTATCTGGGGACTGTCCCTGAACAGTTGCTTAATCCCCAGGTTAGGCTCTTCCTTGGTTATGAAGAGGTACCATGAGATTTTCTTTAACTGAGCTTGTCCAGTCTCTTTCTAAAGGACTACTTTTCTGACCACCTGATCTTGGCAAAAGAGGTGCTTAAATAGGTCAGACTGTGTTTGCTTTCACTTGGGATGTGCACAGTAAGTTGGCTGATAACAGGTCTGAGATGTCTCTGTGCATTTAGCATTTCCATAGTGTGTATGTGTTCTGGTAAAGATGCCACTCTCCTGTCAGAAGCTCCTTTTCTGAGATGCAGATGAGTAAGTTACTTTAGGGCTTGACAATACCTTTTCTTAATCATTACTTTGAAAAGAGATGGCACTTTAAAAAAATAAGTTATTTCTTTTATGGGTATTTTATGAATAATAGAAATGAAATCTGGCCAAGAGAGACCAAGTGTTGTTTTTTGTCTACAGTATGCCAATTTAATTTAAGCACACAGGGTGCACTCCAGCTCTGTTAACAAAAACGAAGGAAGAAAGAAGTGAATGACACTCTTGTCTTCATAATTAGGGTTAATTTCCGTATGTTCTGTGGTCAGATACATCAGGGTCAGGAATGGTGAAAATCCTTTTGGCTCTCTCTCTGCAGCCGCTACTCCAGCCTTGTGTCAGATTTCTCAGACTCTGCTTGTTTAGGATGAGGCTTGAGGCTGAAGTTTATCAACTTTTGGACCTGCATAATGTCAATGGTGTACCCGTGTGCTGGCTGTGGAGGTCAGGCTCAAAGCAGCTATATTGTGACCACCAAATAGCTAAACTCAAGTAACAGTTGGAGGGTTATGGTGCTTTGCTGTGCCACATTTGTCTCAAAAGTGGTAAATAAGAGGTTTGGTCCGTAACTGGATGTGGAGCACATCAACTTTCCCCAGCACGGAGGCTTGGAGGGCAGCCTCTGCCTGTATCCAGCCACGTGCACATGTGCAGGGGTGTTAAGCAGATTTGAACTCATCCATGCATTGAAAACATAGATGATTTTAAAAGTCCCAGAAGTCTTCCTCTTCCTGTGTGAGTGGTATATAGCACAGCTGCAGGTCTTGCATGCAAGGCAGTTAAGAACTGCTGCTTCCTATGTTCTGAGAAGCAGAGCAACAACTCCAAAAGTGCCTGGCAGTCTCGTTAGTGGGGGAGCATGCTACCTGTTCAGGGATGAGTGTAGGGTCTCCTTTGGGTGATGTTCTATGGAGCGTTGCAGTCCTTTATGGTGCCTCATTCATTGGGCTTGGCCTGAAAAAAAAATATGCAGGTTTTAATAACCACCCCATATGTTCTAAAGGAAAGAGAGAACCAAATAATATTGAATGCTTATGTGATGTGTAGACCAGAGTTTTTACACCTGAGAAATGTGGTCGTGTGACCCACAGACACACATTTCCTATCTGTGGCACTTCTCTCCCAGCTGCCATTGTTGAGCCTCAGCACAGGGAAGGTTGTGGTTTCTTTGGAGTATATTTAGCAATATGAGAGCTTATGTTGCTTTTCCAGGTAAGACTGGAGACACCCCTATCGTTCAAATTCTGTTTTCAGCATTCTGTCTTCATTGCTCATGCCAAAGTCCAGGAGATAAAGCCAAGAGTGTAAAAAAGTGTTCCTTCCCTCCCCACCCTGCCTTATCTTGCTCTCTGTTATGGTTGCAGAACTCTTGACTGTGTCTGATCTCATTACAGATAAATGCAAATTTGTTCATTACCACTTGCCATATCGATGGCAGGTATATAATGGGGTGACCTGGAATGACCTCGCCATGATGGAGGAAATTGAAAAGGCTTATTGTGACCCACAGACCAACAGGTATAGTGATGCTGCACTGATTAGTTGAGCCCTGGAGGACGACCATTTTGTTTTCTTCCTATAAGTATTTGACATCCATAACTTTTGTTTACTGAGATGCTCAGGATCTGGAAGATGTACAAATGAGAATTCTTCTTATTAAAAAGAAAAGTAAAAATGATAGCATGGAACTATCACCCCATTTTCGTCTTCTAAAAGTAACAAAACTCTTGCATTTAAAACTCGAAGGTAAAAAGAAGTGGATGGAATTTAGTGCTTAAAATATTAGTGTTTCAGATAATGAATCATGCTTTATAATAATTTGTGTCTTTTAACAACAGTTCACAGCTGGTCCTTCTCTATGGCTATTCCTTTCCCAATACAGCTAGTATATAATAATTTAATAGTATCTATAATACGCCTAGAGAAATTTATTAAATGGCCCCTTGTGTAAGCAGCCAATCTTGTTTTTTTTAAGAGAGTGCATTTTCCCTTTAACTCCTTGCTGAAAGCACCCCTGTGAGCCACATGGATTTGTAGGGGACCCCGAGTCTGGCCTCAGTAAAATGGTGTAGGCATTTCAGCCTGTGCCTCTTCTGACAGCAGATGATTTGGATTTGCATCTCAAGTAGGCTGTGGATGGTACAAATCACAAGCAAGATTCCCAACAGGAGGCTGCTTTCAAAGTCTTTTTGCCTGAGAGTTAATTTTTCAAGCCTTCCAGGAGTAAGAGCCCAGGGGGCTCCAGTGATGAATGCCTCGCAGCTGGGACTGCATCCTCTGTAGCCACATTAAGAACAAAGCTGGTATGCTGCAGGTGTTTGCTGGCAGACTCAGGCAGGTACTTACCAACTTCCACTTTTGTACTGAGAAAAACTAAACATGATATGTATTTCAGAAGTACTGTTTGCCACATTGTACATGTAGCCCCAGACTGTATGTAAAGCTGGCAGTGCAGCATGTGGCTAGTGATTGAGTTGGCATTCGGTGTCTCACAGGCCATAGTTCACTTCTGAAACTTGGAAACAGTTTCCAGAGCTGCCACACAGCCTGTGAGAAATACTCATATTTCAGGCCTATTAAGTTCAGGCAGTCACATTATATTAAAGAAAATTCCACCACATTAAACTGGGAATTAAAGGATAATATATACTGTTAACTACAAAAAAAACTGATCTTGTCCTTACAGTATAGTGGGTAAGAAAATTGATTTCCAGACAATGACCTGCTGCTCTTCTCCGCTTCGACGCCTCTCTACACCATCATCAGTCACAAAACCCACATTTGTATTGACCACACAGTGGCTTTGGTATTGGAAGAATGACAAAGGCCAGTGGATTGAATATGGAGAACAGGTGACTCTGCATCCTGTGCAAGGAATCACTTCTGAAGTAATGTGTGGATCCTCTTTCCCTTCTTCCCTTTTACTCAGCAGGGTTAGTTAAGTAAATACTTAGGCTTGAATGTTACAGTGTCAAGGCAGTAAAGCTACAGATATTCATAACAGATGTGATAAAATGATGACAGGCTGTGGGGAGGGAAGGTGCCTTATCTCCTTGCAGTGAGATTCAGTATGAACTTCTTGCATGTTGTACATTGTTTTGTACTTTAGAGAATTATACTTGCATTGTGGTTTAACCCTGGTGTCATGGAGCAGATTTAGGACCTGCTGACTATGCCAGTTTGTTGCGGGGGGAGATTTTAGACTTAATGTAGATTCCTTTTCATCCTACTCTGTGTGTCTTTTCTCTCTCTACCCAAGCTAGTCATCCAGGGCTTAGTCCTGACTGTGTTCGCTCATTACTCTTCTCTGTCTCTTTTTTTCTCTTTGTTTCCCCACAAAGGGAGAAGGGGATAGTGTGAGCTCACCATCTTCTGCTGCTATTGAGAATTTGTATCTAGCAGATCCAGATGGCACCGTGTTTTTCCAGTCTGGCTTGTATAAGTACGAGCTCAATTTTAAAGGTACTCGTTTTAAAAATTCTTGTTTACAACTGTGAAGTGCTTTACAAAGGTCAATTTGCAAGCTATCCCAGCTTTTAGAAGCCATTATTTGTTTTAGTAACACTACCAGATTTACTCACTGAAATGGGAAGTGAGCTAGTGATGGCCCAGAGGAAATTCCTTATAAAAGTAACCTTCCTCCATATTCCTTGACACTATCCAGACTCGCACTGGACCAGAAATAAAAAAGATTCTTAGTCTTCACATAAAGGCATAGTAAACCTTAAGTAAAGTAAGTTAATCTTATGGATGGTAAAAATGAAAAATAAGCACCTTTCCCTGCCACTGGCACAACATTTAAAGAGCATTAATGACTTAAAGGAGCAAGCAAGACAGATGCATCTTATATAAGAGTTACAGGAAGGACAGGAAGCTTACACAGTGTTTATGCCACCAGTCTTCAGCAGATAGAACTGACAATGAATATACACTTTTCATTAATGAATAATTGTCATTAATTAATGACCCCATCTTGTAGGCTTATTTGTGACTTTTTTCCCTGCCTTTTCTCCTCAAGAAATGACCCAGACAAACACCTCTTACAAAACTCAAAGACGGGTCTGCAGGCGACCAAAGTTTGTGTCTTCTGAAGATGTGCAGAAGATAAAGAAAGGGTAAGTGTTGCACTTTAAGTTGTTGGGTCTTCATATTTCAGAAGTAATTATAAGGCAAAATGGCTTCCAGTGTTGGCAGTAATTGTGCAAAGAACAGAGCTGTTGGTGGAAGGAAACATATCCATTTGGCTTAGCGGAAGATGTATCACAAACTGCCAGCTTGGTGCATCACGTGGTTTTTGGGGTACATGTTACTCCAGGTACCATGTCTGCAGAACTGGTGATGGACAGTTGTTCATTAATAAAAAAGCAAATGAAAGAGGACCGTGACAATTGAATGGCAGCATGCAAAGCCCAGCTCACAGACTGTTTCCCAGGGATTTTGTAGCTTATTTTGTGTATTTTTAAATGTAGGAGCTGGCCAAAGGGGATGCTGCCAGTTCAGATGCTTGGAGCATTACTGAAATTACTAACACCTCATTTTCTGTCTGTTTGCCACCAGCCAGAGGGATTCTTCTATTCCCAATCAGTCCTGTCCTGGCCACTGGGATCAGTCTGCACTGCCTGACTTTGGATACAAGGTATCTTCTTCCCCCCCCCCCCCCCCCGCTTCCCTCCTTATTCTTTCCCTTTTGTAATTCTGATTGAAAGGCATGATTCAAAGGAGGATGCTGCTTACCTGAAGCAATTGTAACTGGGTAGATGCTAAAAAGGGAAAGGAGTGATTTCTTGGGTGGATGTGCTAAAGAACTAGGTGATCTCACAGGAGCATGAAAAAAGGTGCCAAATTCTTATGAACTTCAGCAGCATTTTAGGCATTTGCCTACACGCAAAACCAAAATTCATCAAATTCAGTACAAAAAGATTTACTGTTAAAAAATGACGACTTAGTGGGCCAGTTAAATAAGGGGCTTCTGTGAAGTGTATTCCTTCACTAGAAGCTGGACTGAGACCAAAATCTTCCTGTGTAGGACATTAAAAAATCATCCAATAATAATACCATCATGGCTGTTGATGGATAAAATTTGGATTGGAGATATAGGAAAGGAAATCTCTGTATGCTCTTTCAAGTCACCCAATACTGTTGTGTACATCACAGATCTGAGCGCAGGCCTTGGCCTCAAGGAATGGCAGAAGCAGACTTACAGTCCATAGTAAAAAAACTGTTTGCAGTGATCTCTTCAACAAACCAAACCCCTGTCAGCCCAAGGTCTAGGTTCCTATTTGATCTACCAGGAACAAAAATGTTCAGGTGTTTTTAAACATTAGTAATTCTTTATTTTAGCAATATTTTTAAATTGCTAGATCTAATGGCATTAAGAAGCAGTCCTGAAAGAGTGACACAGACTGTGGAAGTACTAGAATGCTAGAGAAAAAAAAAAGGCTTTTCAGTGTTGCACTTGGCCTTCTTTATAGTGTTTTTGCCCCAGGTTAGAGGACAGCACATAATGTGGAGCATAAGGTTTTCCTTGTTGACTGTGTCAGAGTCTTTTATGATGCTGACCAAGTTGTATTGGCACAAATACCGTGATGGCGAGGGACAGGACAGAAGTAATACCGTATTTCCGAACTGGGAGACCTTTCTGTTCAGTTGATGGAGACCTCCATTGGTATTGTCACTCTTCGCGTTTTATTTTCCCTAGTGTAGTTACATTGGCAGTGGCATGAGAACCAGAAATATCTTGTCTCTTGGCTTCTCTGGCCTGGTTTCTGTTACTCTGCTTTGTGCTGAATATTTCATTTTACCCTGACTGCCCTCTTGTGTTGGATTATGCCTTAGTGTAACACCTGTATCTGGCCATGTGAATGCAGCAAATTCATCTAAACCCAGTCCCAATGCAACATTGGCAGGTAAAATTGAAGTCGGCTGCTGTGTACACCTGCTCACTTCAAATAGCTGGTTTCCACGATCAGCAAAACTGAAATTTCACTAAAAAATCACAATTATAAAAGTGTCAGTGCCTGGCACCCACCGAATGAACTGAGAAGGAGTTTGTGTGAAATGTGGCAGCCAGACCTTTTGAAGATTTGGGCCTGTGATATTTTGAGCTCTGTCACAGTAATAAAGGATATGGCTAAGCAGCAACCCCTTTGGCGTAGCAGCAGCTTCACTGGTTGACATAAGCTTAATTTTCCCAAAGAATGCCAGGAAGACAGGTAGCTCAGTTCTTTATAGGTCCCAGAGCTGTTATGTGCTTGGCTGCTTCCCTTAGCTAGTCTGCAAACTTCAGTCTGAATTTTAATCGAGTCCTTTTGCTGGGGTGTGTCTGGAGTCACTGAGGTGAGTGTGAGACACTTTGGAATGCGATGTACAGATCCATGGTGTCACTAGAGGTACTTGTAGGGATGTGTGTGGTGGAAAGTTCATCTTGCTCCCCCAAGCTCTGTTTGCTTGCTGAGTTGGTGCTTAAGAAACCGTCTCTTAACAGGTAAACTGAGTGGAAGGAAATGTTAATTCTGTACCTAAAAAGTGACAAAGCCCACAGTACCTGTTGGCTAGATTATATATTTCTGTGGGACCCTATGCTTTTTTTTTTTTTGCAGTAGGTAATATTGGGACTGGCTGGGATTCTACATGCATGTGGTGACCATCAAATGACCTGACAATTACTAACTGATGCATTCTTCAGATGTTGACAAATAATCCTGGCAAAATTTGCTGCGCTGGAAGTGATTCATTTTAAAAAGGAACATCTATGAGGCAGGGAGAAAGTCATCTTTGCTTAACAAGAGCAGTTGTGTTTTGGTAACATTGCTTATTTTTTGAGTGTTGCAGTGTCTTGATCTGTAAGTCCTTCAGAATCATAGTTCTGTAGAAAGTAGTGTATGAAATGCCCAATGGAACTTGGGAACACCAAGTGGCAAGTTGGTGTATATTTCTTCTGTCGGCGTGTAACGGAGTGGAATTAGTAGTTGATAATTTTTTTTATTTGTCTCTAAAAGATCTGATATTGTCTTGGAACTTCATGATGGGTTTTTAAAATGTATCTTTAATGTACAATGAGAAATACGTGCAATGAATGTGTGGGTTTATGTCAGAGGATCAGTCTTTAGCTGCTACATTGCAGAATACTGATGCGTGTCCCAGAGATTGCTGTACTGTAACAGGAATGAGAGCTGATGCAATGTGAAGAGTCTGTCTGTGTACTTTACAGATAGCAGTTCTAGTTGGGTTGTTGTTGCTAGTACAACCTGTGCTGCTTACAAAACCCAAGTTAACCAGAGGTCAAGGTTTGATATCACAGACTACTGTTTTCGTAGTCACACACTAACAGAAATTACTGTCAGGGCAGGGATTCCTCCACTGCCTCAGAAACTCCACTCCTTAACAGATGGTTAGCAAATGCTTATGCTCTCTAGGTTTTTCCATTTTAGCTCTGAAGATGAAAAGAGCTAAAAAAGTTAATGTCGTTAAGAAGTACTCGGTATCTCAGGGGGTCCTGCAAGGATGCTGAAGAGGGACTCTTCACCAGGGACTGGAGCTCTAGGACAACGGGTAATGGGTTCAAACTGAAACAAGGGAAATTCAAATTAGATATTAGGAGGAAGCTCTTTACTGTGAGGGTCGTGAGGCACTGGAATGGGTTGCCCAGGGAAGTTGTGAATGCTCTATCCCTGGCAGTATTCAAGGCCAGGTTGAACAGAATCTTGGGCAACATGGTCTAGTGTGAGATTCCCCTGGCCATGGCAGGGGGGTTGGAACTAGATGATCTTAAGGTCCTTTCCAACCCAAATTATTCTGTGATTCTATGATAGGTATCAACCTGCAAGAGTAATGTGCTGTTATCCTTTATTAGCAGGAGAAGCATCCTTGGGAAAATATGGACAATCCCACAGTTTTCATGAAAAAGATAACTGGCTTGGTTGCTTGAAGGCCATCATATGATAAAATAATCTAAGTACTTTTCTGACAGGATTAGACTTTGTATCACGTGGCTGACTCTGTTTTACCCAGAAAGGTTACAGTTCCTCAGTAAAAGATGCAGCATATCAAAAGTGTAATTGTAGTTTAAGGAATTGTTTATGTAGGAATGAAAGATTTAGTACTGAAATATAGTGACATAATTTTCATCTTCTGAGGTGATGGTGAGCAACTTGAGCTGTGGTGTAGCGGAGGTTGCAGATAATAAATATGTGTCCATCCAGATTGTTTTATGTGTTGCATTATGTTTTAAAAAGCTTTGGAAAATACTCTTGTATTTAAAATATGAGAAATTCCATTCAATCTTGTACAAACTTTTTAATAAATTCCAATAAATTATTCTTCCTTGTGTAGCTGACTTTATTTTTAATCCTTGGAAGACTGTTCTATAAGGCCTTTTCATCAGTAAGTCCTTAGTGCACAATCTGTACATGGTGTCCAGAAAAACACCTCTTTATTTATATGCAGCTGTGAAATATGTCTGATTTTATCCCTTGTTTAAACTCAGCCTTGTAAAACATGAAGGTTTTGCCTGATGTTGGTTAAGATGTTGGTTCCGTTCAAGCAGTTTTTGTGCTTTAAACACAACCTTGATATGTGGGATGTCACCTTGAGTCCCCGCTTGCTTAGGCAGTGGTGAAGTGGAAAGTACTGCCAAGTGACATCAGTCTACCAGCATTATGCATTTTCAGTCAAGCTTATGGAAGAGAAGTGTTTATTCCACAAGATTAAAGATATAGATTACTTCATAGAAAAAGTGGAAATTTTATGTGTTACACAAGCAAGCAGAAGAGATCCAATCATATTTTAATTATATTTTGATTAGCTCTTTGGGAAAAATGTGCATTTCCTGGTGGATTTTTAAACACAAGAAATATGGATAAATAGACTTTGTTTCATTTAGGAAAGGATATCTATTTGCTTAAACAGGTGTTTAGTGGAACCTTATTTGAATCCTAATTGTTCTCTTATGTTTAGAAATGGTGCTTTTTTTCCTTAAGTCTGTATTTAAGTGCAACTTTCCAAGTTTTAACTTTGGCAAGTTAAGGAGCTGTGATCCTGGGAGGTTGTATGTATTTGTTTCACCTTTAATAGCTGAAGCTTCATTAAATGTCTGGTTACAAATGACACTGTTATCTAACACCTTCTGTTCTTAAACAGCTTTGTATGTAAAGTTATCTGCCATAATCAGTCAAGTTTTCTTTCTCAAATTTCTGCTTCAGTGAGATCTAAAGTTGTGTCAACCCATACTTGGAGGTGATGAACATTTAACTGACCCTTTCAGCATCCTTCTTGAAGAGAAGCGAGGTGTCCTTGCAATGCAGGAGTGACACACTGACTTACACATTAAGTACCTGTCCTAATTAGCACAAAGTCATGATCTAAAGCATTAAGTTAACCTTCATAAGTATAGTTGGGGACCCTCTTCTGAAAGTGCACCTTCTGTAATTAGGCTTCTGCATGTTATGAGCGAACTGAACCCTCATGTCTTCTTTTGCTTTGGTTTATATTTTATAGGCAGTGGAGATCAGGGATACAACTGCTGAATACAACCAAATAAAGCAGCTGTTTCATCAGACTATGAAGAAATACAGCATCCTTAAAATAAAGAGGATTCAGAATCCATCCCTCTGGAAAGTGTTTCAGTGGTGAGTATTTGTCTCCTCATCCTTCTCGAGGCTGGGGGGGTGTCCTGATGTCCTGTATCTGCTTCCTAGGAAAGAAAAGACGTTACCACCTGTGCTTTAACATGACTGAGATTTCCATCTTTGGAGCAATTCTGGAGTAAAATTTTGTGTCAGTGGCCTTCCAGAGAATGCCATGCTTCTGGGAGAAGGTTCTCTTTGCATGTCTCTTTGGAAGGTGGGGGGACAGATACAGACACAAAGACATGAATGATGCAGAATTTGGGATGAGGATGCCCACAATAATGCAGCATAGTGCATTGTCTTCGGGATTGAACAGTGACTGCCTGCCGCACACATGTTCTGTCTGTTACAAATGTTCATGCATTAGAGAAAGTGGGCAAGCCTACAAGGTGGTTGGGGCTTTTGTTCCAGTCAGATGTAGTGAAGGGCTTCTCAAGACTACCTTTGCTGAATGAAGACAGTATTTGCTGAGAAAGAATCCTTGTGCTTTAACTTAATGATCCCTGAGATCAGAGCTCCTTTCCGATTTGCAGCATTTGCATCAATACTACTGAATGCCAAGATATATGATAACAGATTTCAGCTGATGCTGGTGACAATGTGACCATGTTCAGGTCAGTTTGGTAGCAGATTAAGCTGCTGCATAGAAATGATGTCTAGTTTAAAACAAAGGCATAGATACTTAACACAAGTATTCAAGGACTGTATGGAATGGCAGTGGAGAAGGAAAATACTGCTCAGGTAAGTACTTTCACCTGCAACATGACTGATCCCAGGAAGTCACAGCTAAAAATGTCATAAAACCTTTTTGTGTAGTGAAGCTTAAGACACTTCAAAACATGTAGTAGCACATACTGTTTATCCTCCTATAATGAGATATTTAAGCTAACCAGAGTTTAACAAGTTCTCAATGAACAAATTCCAGTCCATTGCTCTTTTCATTCATGCAGTTTACCAGTTGGAAGGATTCTCCCCTCTCCCTGGCTCTGTTTATTGTGTAGCTGATCACTTCCTGAAGATTATTGTTGTATTGTCCTTCAAGAGCTTCTGAAGACCTGTAGGATGTCTGGGTGCTGTCAAATATTTTTGCCTTCCACTGTGATTCCTCTTTTGATACATGCCATAGCTCAGTCTGGCTCTGGCCTAAATGAGTAAAATCTCAAGTGGTGGAAGGAGGCTTAGTTTCTCTCCTGGCTTTGTCTCCTCAGCCACACTGATCTGACAGAGGGGCAAGAGCTCAGGGTGTATGGCATGAAGAATAAGCTGCCTCTAGCTCCTAGTTACTGCTGGGGCATGGAGGGTCTGTGGGTACCAGCACCACTCTGCAGAGTGTTCTGGGTGGGACGAGATGAGACAATAAAGCAGAACTAGTAGAACCCTACAGAGGAGCAAAAGGTTGGTACAGTGGTGCAGGTGACTGTAGTAGTGTCAGTACTTACTTAAATTCACTAAAGAAAGCCAGGATTATCTAGAACTGCTGGGCAGTGGTACCAGTATATTGCTCATCTTGTATTTGTTCACCATCCTGCTAGTCTGTCTCATCTTCCAAACTGAGAGAAAACAGAAAATCATAGAATGGTTTGGGTTGGAAAAGACCTCAAGATCATCTAATTCCAACCCCCTTGCCATGGGCAGGGACACCTTACACTAGACCATACACCCCTGGCAGTGTTCCAGGCCAGGCTGGACAGAGCCTTGGGTGACAAGGTTTAGTGTGAGGTGTCCCTGGCCATGGCAGGGGGGTTGGAACTGGATGATCTTAAGGTCCTTTCCAACCCTAACTACTCTGTGATTCTGTGTTGCCCAAGGCTCTGTCCAACCTGACCGTGAACACTGCTAGGGATGCAGCATTTACCACTTCCATGGGCAACCTGCTCCAGTGCCTCAGTACCCTCACAGTAAAGAACTTCTTCCTTTTATCTAACCTGATATGTCCCCTGTTTAAGTTTAAACCCATTACCCCTTCTATTTCTCCAGTCCGTGATGAAGGGTCCATCCCCAGCATCCCTGTAGACCCCCTTCAGATACTGGAAGGCTGCTATGAGGTCTCCACGCAGCCTTCTCTGCTCCAGGCTAAACAGCCCCAAATTTCTCAGCCTGTCTTCATATGGGAGGTGCTCCAGTCCCTGATCATCCTCGTGGCCTCCTCTGGACTTGTTCCAACAGTTCCATGTCCTTTTTATGTTGAGGACACCAGAACTGTACACAATACTCCAAGCGAGATCTCGCAAGAGCAGGATAGAGGGGCAGAATCACCTCCTTCAACCTGCTGGTCACGCTTCTTTTGATTTAGCCCAGTATATCTCATTTAACTGATACCGACATATACGTTATACACTTGTTTTTAAAAATGACTTTCTCCCTTTTATTCTGTGGCTCACTCGCTCTCCTCTGCATTTTTCTGTTAGGCAAAAGGAACAGATGAAAAGGGAAAATGGAGGGAAGGATGTAAATGAAAAGCTCCTTTTCCATGGAACCAAGACCTCCTTTGTGGAATCCATCTGTATTCACAATTTTGACTGGAGAATCTGTGGAAGCAATGGAACTGTCTATGGGAAGGGTATGTAGGAAATGATTCTGTGTGTTAGATGTCTGCTTAGACTCCCCTGATATTACAGCAATCAAAGTTTTGAACTATAGAGGGTGGAAAAAAAGGAGTAGGTGATTTTTATGATTTTCCTTCCCTCTGGGGAGGACAAGGATTTGCTTTGAGCAGGGTTAAGGCTTTTCCTAAGGTGTTAAGAGGACGAGTGTAGGGATTTGGAAGAGCCTCTGTTGCTGTAGGTGGGATCTTCTGAAGGCTCAAGTTCATAATTTGTTCAAAGTGACACAAGTGCCATGAAGTGCCATGACACTTGTGACACAAGTAAAGGAAGATGTGTGTGGTTATAAGAAATAAATAGCCACATGGTCTTCAGTTAACTTGCTATGCAGCTCTGGGTGGTGTGCCTACCACGTGTGTGCCTCAGCATGCCCACTTCTAACAGAGCATTTGGTAGTTCCTATTAACTCAGACAGGAATCTGTGGATGCTTTGTGCTTTTGAGCACATGAAGTACCATGAAGGCTGCTAGTCTTCATAGCAGGGAGCAAGGGCATGCATTCCCTCAGTAGGATTGTGAAGGTCATCATGTTTTCTTGTCTATTCCTCATCATAACACACACCTGTAGTGGTTTTGTTTTTAAATTACGAACTCCTGTAATAGCAAATTCCAAGTGAAAATCATGTGTGGAAATCTCTTCTCTTGTAAAAATTTCCATGGGATTATGTAAACTGAGTAAGAAGAGACCTGCAGGTTGGGTTGAATACTTCTTGAAAAACAAGGGGATGCTCAGTTTCCATTGTGCCTTTATATGTATTTCTTATAACCACATTTTCATATTATTTTCTAGGAAGTTACTTTGCTAGAGACGCTTCCTATTCCCACTCATACTGTGAGCCCACGGTGAAGAACAAAATCATGTTCGTGGCTCGTGTGTTGGTTGGAGACTACGTTAACGGCAACGCAGCCTATGTGCGCCCGCCGACAAAGTCTGTTGATGGGCTCCGGTTTTATGACAGTTGTGTGGACAACCAGAGAAATCCCTCCATTTTTGTTGTCTTTGAAAAATACCAGATCTACCCAGAGTTTACAATAGAGTACACAGAGGAAGAAAAAAAATGTATTATATCTTAAAGGGATCAGAGCTGTTTGTATCCTTTCTTATTTTCTGTACTGCAGGTGTTCCCATACTTGGCAACTTTTTACTAGAATCCTTTGGAATGTTAATCCAAGGAAGTTCTCTATTGAGGAGGGCTAGCAAAGCAGATGTTACAGTTGAGACGTTGCCTTGTCTTCTCCTCTTCCTCTCTTATATCAAATGTAGACATTGGGGTAACTGTAGCAGAAGAATCAGAAATGTGGGAAATACAGTGTTTTCACTTCTGTGGGCAAATAACTGTAAATGCATTTTCTTAGAAACAGTATTTCTCTTTGCCAAAAACTCAGTTCAGAGAGTTCAGTACAGCTGTTTGTAAGCAAGATGTCAGGTTTCTAGTAATCAAAGGTTCTTTCCATTGCAGAATACGGTTGTTCTTGGTCCTCTCGTCTATTGCAGTTCTAAACAAGTCAGTCTACCTTAGAATGACTTGACTCAGTTTTCAAAGGACCACTTGTTAATGTTGATACAAGTTTCAAGTTTAAAACGGCAAGACAAAAAAATCAAAAGCTTATTTTAAACCTGTATCATAAGTTCTCAAGTTTCATCTGTACATTGGCAGCTGCTGTTTGGATCAGAAAATGGTTGGCTCAGATTCTCTTTGCAGATCTGCAGTAACTTGCTGTGTGACCTCTATAAAAATAAGAGCTCAAGTGAAACTGTGAAAATCCCAGTCTATGAATAAGTAGGTACTAAAATGTGATGGCTTGGCTGCAACTAATGGTCTTAAGTATATAAAGGCTGTGTCTCAATGAGCCAGGTTCTCAAGTCAATGTGGCCGCCTGTTTTCTCACTGTGAACGTTTTGCTTAGCTACAGGACAGGAGAAACATCTCAAGAAGCAGAGGTATTTCCTGCCCTACTTGTAGCTGTTTTCATTTTTCCAGAAATACAACCTGATTGGAAGAACCCAGTTATGTCCTGTGGAGGCCAGTGGTAGAGCTGCTGTTCTAAGATATGTATTTGGTTATCCACATTGCGCGGGGCAAATTGCTGATGAGCGTATCTCCTCTTTGTAGCTGTTGTGTTCCGGGATACTGATTCCCTGGGTCTGATATGATAAACATGCCTCGCCTCCGTCAGTGATGTACAACCTTACCAATGGTGGTTATGCCTTTTCTTACAAAGTTACATGCATTGTATTGTCCCCAAAAGAAAATACCTAAACTTGTGGAGTCTCTACTGAATCTTAATAAGCTTGTACGTTAAGGGAACTGAAGACCTTCTGTACAAAGATGTCTGCTTCAGGCAGTCTAGCTGGCAAGAGGGAACCATTGCCAAAGATAAAAGAGCAGTAACTTTTGCTTTTAGGTAAGCAAGCTTTACAGTAACATGAATAGCCTCCCACTTACTTTGTCTTCAATACTGATCTGTCAACTACATGTACTACTCAAAGTTTGCATATTACCCAGAGGACAGGGGAATGTATAAAACTAGGAAATCTAACTAAGATTGCAGTCTTGGAACTAAATGAAAACATGCATCAGGAATGCATTACAAAGATTTTACCACTTTTGAAGAGCTCTTTCACATTTGGTTTTCTGTAGAGTTCCTGAATCAAGTTTTGCCTTCTTTGCAAATAAAATGTGGTTTCACTCACTTTTTGCTTAGTGTGCAGTTTCTCTCCATATATAAACTTACGTCTTCTCTATGTTTCTAAACCAGGGAACTGCAAGAATGCAGGTTAGCATTTTAGTGTAGATTCTTAGCTAAGCAGAAAGGATAGAGTACAGTCTGATTCATGGAAGACGGTTCTGTAAAAGAACTTCCTTAAGATACTTTTAATAAATTCAATTCTAAGTTGCTGTGGTAGTTTAGTTGGATTCCTTGTAAATAAATATATCTATATCCCTATACACCTGCATCCAGCTCTGGGGCCCCCAACACAAGAGAGATGTGGAACTATAGGAGCCAGATCTGGAGGAGACCACACTATCTGAGAGCTGGAGCACCTGAGCTATGAGGACAGGCTGAGAGAGCTGGGCTTGTTCAGTGTGCAGAAGGCTCTGGGGAGACCTTGTGGCTCTTTTAGGCACTTGAAGCGACTAAGAAATCTGGAGAGGGGCTTTCTACAAGGGCCTGTAGTGACAGGACAAGAGGGAATGGCTTTAAACTGACAGATTTAGATTAGATATTAGGAAAAAGTTCTTTACCGTGAGGGCAGTGAGACACTGGAACAGGCTGCCCAGAGAAGTTACAGACTGTTACAGGTTTATGAAATGAACCTGAATAACCCATTTAATGCTTCATCCATACATGCAAAGAAGTCATATACTTGCTGCTCAGCTGAGCACATCTTTGAATTTATTGATGTAAAGCAGGCAAAATTCTCAATCACATATCAAAAGTACTACAAATGTCATTCTTCAATTTGTGTAGCAATGGATCATCGCATTAATTACACACTTCACAAGGAGTCAGCAGAGTTCTCAAACTTATCTTCCCTAAAATGACTTTATATTCCCTGAGGGAAAACGTACCTGTCTATCCATATCTTACTTCTCTATGCAGGACCTCCAGAGGCAGTGCAGGGCCAACTATGGAAGTGCTTTTTTAGGTCAAAAGGGAACCCTATGTGGAACATGGGGAAGAGCCTGAGCTGGACAAGCATGTTTGTGTGAAGGAGAGCTTGTAGATGTGATATCAAAGCCAGAGCTCAGGCAGTTGAAGAGCTGAGAGGCATTTCTATTCAGGAAAAAGAAGAAGAGGAGCCATTAGGCTTAGTTTTGGTTTGAAACATCATCTTTTCCTTCACAAGGGACTACTGAGTTACTGTTGCACGACAATCTCTTAGCTCTGCTATGCTGCAGGAATCCAGAGGCTCAAGAACATCACAGAGGTACATGGCTCCCATCGTGCCTCATTCGCAGCACCAAAGCTTATCACATTGCTTGTGCCACACAAAGCTTTGTGTCACTTCCCATTAGCGATCCTTCTATGGCAGAAGCTCCCTCCCAGTCTTCACCTGCTCTGATACACCTCTATAAACATTGTTTTTAAACTCCGCTTTGCTAACATGTAGAGACTTGTGCTTTTGAGAGGGTAGTAAAGCCTGACTTCCCAAAAGTCCAACCTGCCATCCAGCGATGGGGGTGGTTGAGCTAAAATCCAAGCTTTTTTCTTTTTTCCCTGAAAGATTTAAAAGGGCCAAGAGAGTACCTGTGTTGGAACAGTTGCAGGTAGCTACTATCCCTCTTGTCTGGTTTCACTCACACAGTAATATCAGAATGCTCTGAGGTGTTACATTGAAAGGAGAAAGTTAAACATTTTATGAGAGGGAGTTCAACAAAACACACCTGGGAAGAGCCTGAATGCAGACAAATCTTTAGGACAGAGTCTGCAGCTTGTGCCTGAATGGAGAGGAGGCCTGATACAGAATTCGGTTTATCCCTGTATTGGCCCTGACCCCACACTTTCCTATTAGCTATGTTTAAAAGATGTAACAAATTGGGCAAAGGAAGGACTCAAATCCAGGCCTTGTTACTGCACTGTATGTAATCAGGGTCAGAGAGAACTTTCAGGAAAATATACCAGAAAAGCAGTGTCCTAGGATGCTCCCCAAAGCTATGCATTATCAGCAGGTTAGCTTTTTCTTTCCTTGTAGAATCAGGTAAGATACAACTTCCTGAAACAGCTCTCTGTATTTTTTGGAAGGAAATCACCATCAGATCTCTGACTCCTCAGGTACTCTTACCTACCATCAACGTCTACCATGGTTTACAGCAGAGCACCCTGCCGCTCCCTTCACCCAAACTTTGATTCGTAAGCGTATTGTTATATAGCTGAAGCACAGAGGAAAGACTATGCCATTGAGTGAACAGCTGCTGCCTTCCTAATAAGTCGCTCTGTCATCGGTGAATTTGGTCTCATCATATCACGTTCTCTCAGGAGGCACCTGAGAAAGAAGAGGTAGGAGAGAAACAGGGAGATCGTCATCAGTATCCTTGTAAAAGGAGGGAAACAGTGTGTAAAGACCTGCTCGAGGTGAAAGTTTCCCCTGTTGGAAATAGTTGGTCTTGGTAGTAAGTTTAGGTAGAATTCTCGGCATTGTTTTCAGCACTGGGAGAGATTGAAAATGAACACCCGAAGATCGGAGTGCACAGAGGAATCACTTTGTTATTGTATGTCATTTTAAGTTTCAAAGAGACCTCAGGAGGAGAACAGGGAAGGATTCACATTGTCCCAAGGATTCATTCTTTTAAGAAGACCCAATCAATACAACACAACAGAACTCCATGTGGATGAAGCAGCAATACCTACGATTTCTACCAAATGAGACTCCTGTGATTTATACTAAGGCAAGCTCACCCATCAGACTCTGCAAATCTTATTTGGCAGTACAGCAGCTGTCATCATTAGGACAGATCTGATTTTCAGCGCTTCACAGAGAAGTTTAGCAGTCCATTAGGTACACTGACAAACAGGCAGAAGGCCATGTTTTAAGACAGAACCATTTGAAAATCAACTGCCCTTAACAAATACAGAACATTGCTCCAGACTGCAAAAGTGTACTTTTGGAATTGGAAGCTATGTTACTGGCTATCCTAGTTAAATGTTGCTGAATTTAACATAAATGCTCCTGTGCCCAGAGAAGCTGCGGCTGTCCCAACCCTGGCAGTGTTCAAGGAGAGGCTGGAAGGGGCTTTGAACAACCTGGCCTAGTGGGAGGTGTCCCTGCCATGGCAGGGGGTTGGAACTAGAGAATCTTAGGGTCTTCCAACCCAAACCATTCCATGACACAATTCTAGCCTTAATGTATTGGCTTGAGAATACCTGCTGCTTCATACTTTTAGTAATACTGCTACTTCCTCAAATATCTAGCAGGAAAAATACTCACCTTGCAAGGTTTTGTTTGGCTTGTGATTTAGAATTTAGAGCTGCTTGAATCAGTAACTGGCTGAAAACATCTCTCTGAAAAATACAGAGTAGTAAGTAACTTATGAAGTACTGCTGGTTACAGTGTCTTGTTTTCCAAATTATTAAAACCACTGAGGAAGGAAAGGTATCAACAAGAAAATATAAACAGCCAACACTGCTGATAGTGTTTGCAAACAGAATTTAGTCACAAGCACATTTTAGCTTTTCAATTTCTAAGAATGAAGGGTTGTTAATAATGCAAGTGCCTAACAGAGGCTACTGAAAGAGGGTTAAGTAGCATCAGAAAGTCTTACTGATCTTTACCTGAGCATTACTGCCTCCTACTTCGATCAGCTGATACC